TATAATCCAAAATAAAATTACAGTCAATTTAATTGAAACACGTCCCCTAACTCCCAAACATACCGACATTTGGGTAGGGTAGGGATACGTAGTCGATCGCAAAAGTCGACTTTTAGACAGTTCGATTTTTGCCTCTGATCAAAAAGTCAATTTTTAGACTTTTCGACTTTTGCCTTTAACTATCTTTTGATTTCGATCTTTCGATTTTGTCAAAACTGTTCAAAATCGATTTTCGACTTTAACTGACTTCTGCAAAATCGACTAAAAATTTGATGTTTTATATAAATTATTGTTAACAAATAATTTAAAGTTCCGCAAACTGCAATTTTTGGTCAATTTGAGCTTTGTGATAAAAAACCAAGTATTTATGAAGAAAATTGAAAGTCGATTTTAATCGATTAGTCGAAAGTCGATTTACTTATTTCTAATATGGGGTTAGCCCAAAAAGTGATCGTTTTAGTAGGAATATTTTTTTTATCAATAAGAACCCAAAATACCAAATTAAAAATATTCTTTAAAAAATTTATGCTTCTTGAAGGTCCTTAAAATGTTTCATTAAAAAATCTATGCTTTATGAAGGTCCATAAAATTTATTCATTTAAAAATCGACGCTTGTTGAAGCTCCTTAAAACATTTCATTAAAGAATCTATGCTTGTGGAAGGTCCTTAAAAATATTTTTTTAAATCGACGCTTGTTGAAGCTCCTTAATTCATTTTTCATTAAAAATCGATGCTTGTTGAAGGTCCTTAAAAATATTCTTTAGAATATCTATGCTTGTTGAAGGTCCTTAAAATGCATTCATTACAAAATCGACGTTTGTTGAAGATCCTTAAAAAAGTCTTCAATAAATCTACGCTTGTTGAAGATTTTTAAAACAAGCCTTCAAAAAATCTGCGCTGGATCCTTAAAATGTTTATTTAAAAAATCTACGCTTGTTGTAGGTCCTTAAAAAATAGTCTTCAAAAATTATATGCTTGCCGTTAATATTCGTTTTAGAAAATCGATAACCCTTAAAAATTTTTTCTTTAACGTAAGTAAGCGATAGAATTTCATTTATTTTCTTTAGACAATGTATGCCCCAGAAAGTCCATTAGAAAATCCTCGCCTCATAATGTTCTTAAGAATATATGCCTCGTTATATGGGCGATGCCACACAATATAGGCCAATATCGATAATTTTTGGTGCGGAGATAAATACAACCTTCCGATATTCCTTTTCAAAAAATAGTTTAATACACTTTTATTCTAGTTAGGAATACATATTACCTTCCATTTTTCAACTATTGAAGAGTTTTAGCAGGAAATCATGTGGATACGACATATTAAACCCTATCAAAGCTATGTTTATTTTTGGAGGAATCTGCATATGATTTTCTTCACAAGTAGTCAGTCCCAGTCCCGCTACAATTATTTTAAAGTAGTCAAGACTGGACATTATAGCATATATTTAATTTTTGTTTGCTACAAAACTTCATTAGCATTTCATCGCGACACTCGGAGCTTGTTACATAACTATAGGTTTAACCTCAAGTTCTATGAGGAGGAAATAAAACGGAGCACTTTTGTGTTTGTGGCAATGGTGATGGTGGCATTTGGTTCTTTTGAAGTAGTCATTTAATCATACATTGTCTTTTGAAAGCTGTCTCTCGGGTTATTATAATGAAAGACATATGGTTGAGAAGTAGAAGGGAAGGTAACCCTATGAAAAGAAATCAATATTAAAACGAAAAAATTAAATCTAAACAAATACCGACAAGCTTGCAGGCTAGATTTTACAAAGGCAATATTAAATAATATAATATAATGACACATTCTGGGGAATTGGGGTCCAATTGAGGCGGCACACTAAGAATTGTTAATACAGGACATGGTGTGGTTGGAAATTTGTTTTGGTTTATTGTTCCCGATTTTGTTGTTTTTTATTTTTTCCAATTTTTTAAAATATTTATTTTATTTAACACGCCTAATTATTTTGGGTATCCTTCCCTCCACATTTTCCTATTACAAGGCTTGTGTCCACATAGTATTCATTCTGTACAGTTTTTTTTATTATTTTGTTTCTAAAGTCAAAGATCACGATTTTTTCATTTCTTGAACCTCTCAAAGACTTAACACTTACGGTTATTCAAAATGTTGCACAAATTTTTGCAGTTTGCTTGCCGTTTGCTATTGCAGATGACGATGATGATGTGGCAACGGCTGTTGCTGCTGTAAACTGTAGTAAGTGTCCGTCCAGCAGCTGTTCGTGTGTCTCTCTGTTTGTCTGTCCGGCTGACTGACTGTCTATCTATCTCTGGTATACACATAAAACTTTACATATTAACACAAAACCGACTCTAGAAGAAAATCCCATAGAATGTAGAGACAAAAGCTATGGAGTTGAAGAATATAAACGGCGGGGGGACATTCAAAATAGAGGGTGTGAACGGCAGACGATACTGGAAGTAACAAGCGAAAAATAGTTGAAACATAAAAAAAACTCACAAAAAATTCTTAGAATTTGAATATTGTGTGAAATAACAACGGCAGCTCAAAAACAGACAAAATGCTTGAAAAAAAAATCGAAAGAAAAAAGAGTAAAAATGAAGAAATTCTGGAAAATACAGAAAACCATGAGTTCTGAAGGTAGCCTATGTAAAAAGGAATACCGAAGTGATGAGTAGAGAAGTTATAAGGAAGGACAGTGGTTTCAAATAGAGAAATATTTAAAATTTTACTCATATCTTGTTTAGACTTAAGTCCATCTGAAGTCTTTGTATAAGCAGGAGATCTTCAGATGTCATCCCATAGGGAAAATACAATCATATGGCCTACTTCAGATACGAAACTTTAAAACATATTCTTGAAAAAATCCAATCTTGTTGAAGGTCCTAAAAATGATCCTTAAAAAATCTTCACTTGTTTAAGATCCTTAAAAATATTCTCTAAAAAAATCTACGGTAGTCGAAGATCCTTAAAAATACTTCAGTTGTTAAAGGTCCCTAAAAAATCGTCACTTGTTGAAGGTCCTTTAAACATATTAATTTAAAAATTGTTGAAGGTCCTTAAAAATACCAGTTAAAAATCTACGCTTGTTGTAGGTCCATATGAATATTCTTTAAAATATTAAAAATTTAAAAAAAAATTAATCTTTAAAATTTAAAATATTCTTTCTGGAGTAGGTACTATAAGTTCATGCATATTGTAAATCTCATTGGCCTTTAGGCTATTTTTACAAAATAAAATATAAATAAATAATATTCTTTATATTCTTTAAAAAATCTACACTTTTTGAAGGTCCTTAAAAATAATCGTTGAAAAATCTACGCTTGTTGAAGGTCCTTAAAAATGTTCTTTAAAAAAATCTACTCTCGTTGAAGGTCCTTAAAAATGTTCTTTAAAAAAATCTACGCTTGTTGAAGGTCCTTAAAAATATTCTTTGTAAAGTCTACGCTTGTTGAAGGTCCTTAAAAATATTCTTTAAAAAGTCTACGCTTGCTGAAGGCCCTTGAAAATTTTCCTTACAAATCTATTTCAAAATATTGTTCAAAAATTGTACGCTTTTGAAGGTCCTTAAAAATATTCTTTAATAAATCCACGCCTTGGTTAGGTCCTTAAAAATATTCTTTAATAAATCCACGCCTTGGTTAGGTCCTTAAAAATATTCTTTAATAAATCCACGCCTTGGTTAGGTCCTTAAAAATATTCTTTAATAAATCCACGCCTTGGTTAGAAGGGTCCTTAAAAATATTCTTTAAAAAATCTACGCTTGTTGAAGGTCCTTAAAAATATTCTTTAAAAAATCTTCGCCTTCTGTTCTGTGCTGCTTCAAAAAATATTCTTTAAAAAAATCTACGCCTTCCAAGGCCTTGAAAAAATATTCTTTAAAAAAATCTACGCTTCTTTTGATGCATCCGAAAATATTCTTTAAAAAAATCTACGCTTGTTGAAGGTCCTTAAAAATATTCTTTAAAAAATCTACGCTTGTTGAAGGTCCTTAAAAATATTCTTTAAAAAAATCTACGCTTGTTGAAGGTCCTTAAAAATATTCTTTAAAAAAATCTACGCTTTTCGAAGGTCCTTAAAAATATTCTTTAAAAATCTACGCTTGTTGAAGGTCCTTAAAAATATTCTTTAAAAAAATCTACGCTTGTTGAAGGTCCTTAAAAATATTCTTTAAACAAATCTGCGCTTGTTGAAGATCCTTAAAATATTCTTTAAAAAAGCTACGCTTGTTGAAGGTCCTTAAAATATTCTTTGAAAAGTCTACGCTTGTTGAAGGTCCTTAAAAATATTCCTTAAAAATATTGGCTTGTCGCTTGTTGAAGGCTTGGCTTGTCGAAGATCCTTAAAATGCGTTCATTTTTGAAGGTTCTTAAACATAACCTTAAAAAATTAGTGTTTGCAGAAGGTCCTTAAAAATATTTTTTAAAAAATTTACGCTTGTTGAAGGTCCGTAAAAATATTTTATATTTACCCATGTTGAAGGTCCTTAAAAATATTTGATACAAAAACCGAAACATGTTGAGGGTCTTAAAAATATTCTTTAAAAATCCATGCCTCTTATAGTCGTTGAAAAAACATTTTTTACAAAAGTCGAATCTTGTTGATGGTCTTAAAAATATTCCTAACAAAAATCGAAGCTTGTTGAGGGTCTTAAAAATATTCTTCAAAAAATCCACGCCTCTTATAGTCATTGAAAAAATATTCTTTTAAAAATCCAATGCTTGAGAATTTTTGATCCACTGTGTTCAATTCAAACTCCTTCTTCCTACAAATCAATTGTTTATTTTTATGAAAAAAAGAATAGAATACAGGCGTGGGCAATCTATATTTTTTCTCCGCCAAGGTTTTGCTTAAAATAGTTACTTTCCCTAAGGACTAGGAAAAAATAAAATACAAAAACAAAACTTAAGACTTTGTCAGCATAGCAAACCTAAAAACAACAAAGCTAGAAAAATTCTCCTTAATAATACAAAATTAAAATAAGAAAAAAATAGCAACAACAAAAAACACTCACCCGAAACACCAAACTCGAACTGGTAAACGTTGGCCGATTGTCATTCAAATTTAACACCTCAACACGCAGCAAACGTATCGATTGTTTTGGCGGATTACCGCCATCGGTTGCTGCCACCGCCAAACGATAGATGCTACGCTCCTCGTGATCCAACACGACCAACGTGCGAATCACACCCGTGTTGGCGTCTATGCTAAACAGACCAAAGCCATCCGAATCACGACCTTTTAATATCGAATAAGTGATCGATGCATTCTGTCCATTATCACGATCGACAGCACGTATGCGCACCACCTCAGTGCCGGGCGGTTGTTCTTCGCGTACACTGACCACATCCTCTTGCGGATCGACAATTTTCGGTTGATTGTCATTGACATCGGTTACATGGACTTTGACAGTAACGCGTGAACTACGATATGGTGTACCTTGGTCGCGAGCCTCAGCGACAAATTCATAGACGGAGCTGATTTCACGATCCAGCGGTTCGCGAGTGGTTATTTCACCTAAGAGGGAAAGAGAAGAAAAGAGAGAAAGGAGGGTATTGTTAATATAATAAAATACATTGAAGAGTGTGTAAAATAAACAAAAAAATTGTGGGATGTTGTAATTAGTGCAATTAATTTCGACTTATTCCACAATGACCTGCCATAGACCTTTAAAAAAGATTCCTCTTGAAATCGTCAAAAAAAATCGTCCTTAAAAAATATTTATTTTGAAAATCCTCGAAAAAAGGTCATTGAAAAAATATTTATTTTGAAAATCCTCGAAAAAATGGTCCTAGAAAAAATATTCCTTTTTAAAATACACGCATCTATTAGTCCTTGATAAAAAAATTCTTTAAAAAATCCACGTGACTATTAGTCCTTGAAAACCCTTTTTTTAAATCCAGACCTATGACACACTTTTAGAAAATACAATTACAACCAGTAAGGGAAGTAGTAAAGCCGGACGGCGTCGACTATATGATACTCTTCACCGCTTTGGGTATATTCTACATATGCATCCTAACAATCAAACACCCGTTCGAAATATTTATGGAAGCTATGTCTGCATCTGCACCAACTCAAAAAAAGCTTTATCTAAATCTGAACCGATTGTCATGAAACTTAACACACATCATTCTAGACCTATTTCATTACGCTGTGCCAAATTTCGTGCAAATCGAAAGATATATAGGGACTTTGGTGCAACATTTATATAAAATCGGACGAAAATATATATGGGAGCTATATCAAAATCTGGACCGATTTTCACGAAACTTGGCAAACATCAATCTAGACTCAATTCAGTACGTTATGCCAAATTTCGTGCAAAACGAAATATATATATATATATAGGGACTTTGGTGCACCTAAAATCGGACGAAACTATATATGGGAGCTATATCCAAATCTGGACCGATTTTTACGAAACTTGGCAGACGTCGTTCTAGGCTCAATTCACTACTTTATTCTAAATTTCGTGCAAATCGAAGGATACAATGGGACTTTGGTTCACTATTTACCTAAAATCGGACGAAAATATATATGGGAGCTATATATAAATCTGGACCGATTTTCACGAAACTTGGCAGACATCATGCAAATCGAAAGATATATAAGGTCTTTGTTGTACCATTTCTATTAAATCGGACCAAAATATATATGGAAACTATATCTAAATCTGAACCGATTTTCCCCAATTTCGTCCTTGGGTCAAATGAATGAGCTGTGCCAAATTTCATCCAATTTGAATAATAAATGCGACCTGCACTTTGTTTACAATTTAACATGGACAGACGGACGGAAGGACGGACATGCATAAATCGACTTAGAAAGTGATTCTATGCATATTCTCAAAAGGAACCATGTGCCTATCTCATTTCCTTTTGCCTGTTACACACAAATGCACAAACACATAATATCCTGTACCACAGTGTGGTGAAGGATATAAAAATCTGCGCCCGTTATTGACCTTGAAAAGATGTTCCTAAAAAAACCACGATTGTGTTGGCACCTGAATATATATGCCCACTGACACTTCAAAATATCCTTGAACAAATATTCTTTAAAAAAATCCACGGCTGACATAGACCTTGAACATAACTACGCTTCAAATAGTCATACTTTAGATAGCTCTCACAAAAATTTAATGTAAAAATCCATTGGTCTATGAAAAATATTTTTTTGAGAAGGAACTTCGAGGTGCTATTAAAGCATACCTTGAAAATTGTGTGGGAGGAACTTCTTTATTATTTATTCATTAGGGAATTAGAATTTCGAGTTAGAGTTACTGAAAACGGTTCGATGATCTATCAAATATTAAAAATATATATCTTTAATTCCACTTTTCACGTAGTCCTTGAAAAGATGTCTTAGAAAATATATCCTTCATACCCCAAACATTTCAACATAACCAATCAAAAACCTAATCAAAACACTTTACAGATGAAGATCATAAAAATTGATACCATCTATTAAAAAAAAGATTTATTTAAAACGCACACATACACAGCAGCATCCAAACATGACATGCTCACCGATGGCAAATATTTTCCTACTGCAGTTTATGTTGATTTCTTAGATGAGGTGGTAGGCCTTGCAGCAAAAAGACCCAATGAATAGAAGAAAGCCACAAGATCACTGAGAAAAGGCACTTGTTATTCGCATTGGTATGTCTCTTTGAGTGTTTGTGTTTGTAACTAGAACCAGAACAGCAGTTTCAGCAATGTCAGCTCATCCGTCAATTCGATGTCTTTTGCAATTGACATTTAGGGGCCACTGTTAGGCTTTGAATTGCAAAATTACCAAGGGGATATTGTTCGATGAAGATGAAGGAAAGCATGAATGCGCAAACGTAAACTACTTGCAGCATTCTCTGCATTTGGAACACACACAAAACAAGTTCAAAAGAAATAAAATCTAGAAGTTAACTCAATTGATTTGTATTTGTTGTTGTCGTTTTTTCCACTACGACTCCTTTTCGATATTTCATTCGGTGGATGATAAAATGTTTATATTGTAGTATTTTTTTATTTAAATCAACACAATTTATGTTAATGACATTGTATGGTTTTCATTCGTTGCCCAGAAACCGCACACAAGAATGAAGAAAAAACAACAACATCTCTTGAAGATTGATTTGAAATGATTAAAATCTTTTGCTTTCAAATGATATCCTTCACCCCAAACAGGCAGGCAATCTCTGCAGAGCCGTTGATCATTGGCTAAACACCGAGACCGAGACCAAACGGCAAACGGACACAAGAAACCGAACGGGCGCAAGAAAAAAATATATCGCCCAGATAGAAAGAAAGCAAACAGAAATATTGATGAATGGTTTCAGCATATATTAGCTGCTGGAAACTGGAGCAATATGTTATAGATTCATTAGATAGGAATCTCTATTTGTTTGCATGTGTGTGTATGTGTTCATGTAGAGTAGATTTGTATGCTGCCTTGAAAACGGGTTGTATAGGCTAAGGCGGCATTCATTTATTATGCTGTATTTATAAGAAGCCGATGAAACAATGTTTTGGAAAAACAAAATAACTGTTGAACATTTTGATTTTCTTCTTCATCTTTTTTTGTATTTTATTTGGTAATGAACATCTGGTGTAATATAGCGGAAAGTATAAAGAAAAGATAACAAAATCGTATTATGACCCAAAATAATATGATCAAGTGTAGTTGGTTACAAACTCAATCTTAGTTCGACATCTTTTATAGATTCTTTTTTTTCTTTTCGAAAAATATCGAAGTGATTTTTATTAACTTTTCAAGGACCGGGTATCTTGGATTTTTAAAAAAAAGGAGTCCCTATATGTGTTTTCTAAATATATATTTCGAGTATAAATTCGAATTTTTCAATTCGTAGTGGATGAAACGAAATATATATTTTCAGAGCTATATAAGAACCAGTGAGCGGAGCAGTATACGAGGCCGACCATATGATATCCCACGCAACTACCATGAAAATCTAACCTTCTTCGGTTCGATATTCTGAGCTTGGTCAATATTTCTCGATATTTGCACCCTCTTGACCGATTATAGGTGAATATCTTTATTTTCTCACCCTGGCATATTTTCCAAATCTCGTTTTCCCCAGGTTAATATTTAGGACATAATATAAAAATTCGGTTGATTCGATTTACGGAATATTGACAGATTATCATCTCTGCCTCTTCACCGTCTAAAATATGTGATGTTTTGCATATGGCCTCTAGAGCGACTAGAAAATCTGACAAAAATAAAATGTTCAGTTCATTACGCCCACTGAATTTCTTCAACAAAAATTATAGGCATCATCCTTGACCAAAATTGAAATTTCATGTAGAATTTCAAAGCGATCAGCGCAACATTTCTGCCATCTAGTGGGGTAATCGTAAAACTAAACAATATCATAACACATATACAGCTTTAAATATTTACGTTTAACTCCCACATAGGTTAACAATTCCTTCTCGGGTCAATGTCCTTCAAGAGTAAATATATATATTAATATTGAATATTAAGTACAGTTTTTGTAATTCTTCACACAAAAGTCCGGGTCCATTCGACACACTAAATATTGACCGATCTTTACCAAAACAGTCATACTTATTTTTTTGGCCAGATCCCCATCTCCATGCAAACATTTGTCATGTCCGAATCATAATGGCGGCCTCTGAAGAGACCAAAAATAAGACAAACATACAATTATTGTTCCATTTCATTCCCTTCTTCGGCCCGAACTGGTCATACATGCAAAATTTCGTGAAGATTGGTCCATAACTGTGACCTGAATCGTGTTTAGACGCACATGCCTAGATCGACGATCGGTATACTTAAAGGTAGGTCTAGGACCAATATTATATTTCGCGGCGTTACAAACTCTTGGGCCACCCGAAGCTGTAATACCTTAATAACATAGTTGAGCAGCGTATAAATATAATTTAAAAAAAAATTAAAATAGAAAAAAATCGAATGGATCACATTAGAGTTCGCTGTGTATTTTCTATATTTTAAAGGTTTTAACCGCAAATCTCCACCACAATTGTGGACTTTCATTCGGCGAAACTGGGGGAAGCACAACATTTGTGGCAGAACTATTGCGATATATATCGTATGTAGAATCCAAATATGTATTTTTAAGTCATTAGCCGATATATTTTGCGACAAACTTTCCGAATTTTTGGCATTCCAAATCATGATTAAAAAATGCTTCTTGCAAGGAAATTCACCACACTGTGGTACTGGGTATTATGTCTTTGTGCATATGTTTGTAACAGGCAAAAGGCAACGAGATAGACACATGGTTCCCTTTGAGAATATGCATAGAATCACTTTCTAAGTCGATTTATGCATGTCCGTCCGTATGTCTGTCTGTCCATGTTAAATTGTAAGCAAGTACAGTTCGCATTTATGATTCGAATTGGATGAAATTTGGCACAGATAATTCTTTTGGCCCAAGGACGAACCCTATTGAAATTGGGAAAAATCGGTTCAGATTTAGATATAGCTCCCATATATATTTTCGTCCGATT